TGTGTGTGTGTGTGTGTGTGTGTGTGTGTGTGTGTGTGTGTGTGTGTGTGTGTGTGTCTCCCCGTTCAGGCACCCCCTGTTCCCGTTGCTTGCACTGATTTTTGAGAAATGTGAATTAGCGACGTGCACCCCCAGAGAGCCCGGGGTGGCGGGAGGAGACGTCTGTTCATCGGAATCTTTCAATGAAGACATAGCCGTGTTTGCAAAACAGGTCAGAGAAAACTTTGCTCCCCATTTTCTTTTTTTGTTTATTTCACCGTGCGTAAAGTTGGCACTCTGTATAGAAAAAAAGGACGCTAAATCCACGCCTGAAATGTTTTCTGTCGTGCGTAAATGGATATTGCACCATGTTATGCACGTGCATGTTGAATAACTCGGACATACTTGGTTTTAAAATGTGCATTAATGTGTTGTTTATTTGTTCTTTTTGAACTTTTAGATTCGGGCAGAAAAACCTTTATTTTCATCAAATCCAGAGTTGGATAATCTGGTAAGAGATGCTATTTTTAAATGAACCAGCTGTTCTGGTCTTTACTGACCTGAACCACGAGGGGATAAAAACTTTAAAAAAAAGAAATAAAAATGCACGTGTTCCTCAGTTTGTGCTGTTTGATATGATGATGCCCCCCCGGTTGGATGCTCACATAAAGGGCCCCACACCTTTGAACTCATTCTTTCCCTGCTCCATGTTGGAACAACCTTTTTTAAATAAATCTCTGACTTATCGCCTTCTATCCATACTGCAATAAGTTTAATTAAAAAATAAATTACAATAAACTTTTGCTGTGCTAAATTCCTAAAAGGGTTTAATGCAAAACTTTACTTTAATTAACCTTAAATTTACAGAACGACTTTTATTCATAGTTTCACGAGTTGATTTGAATAAATGCTGACGGTGTTTTGTTGTTGTGCAGTACGAAGACTTGCCCCACTACGGGATGGACGGTGTGGGCATCCCGACCACCATGTACGGAGACCCGCACGGCGCGCGCTCCATGCAGGCCGTGCACCTGAACCACGGTCCGCAGCTGCACTCCCACCAGTACCCGCACACCGCCCACACCAACTCCATGCCCCCCAGCATGGGCTCCTCCGTTAACGACGCTCTCAAGAGAGATAAAGACGCTATTTACGGGTAGGTGGAGGGAACCAGGCCTCCGGTCAGTGGAGGTGGAGGGGGCGGATGTGTGGGGGGGAGATTGAGAGTCATTCCCGGATGGATCCAGGGACAGCCGGGGTGGGAAAGAACCAAACTGGAGCAGCTTTTCTTACTCGTTGAATTTCCCAAAAAGTTTGTGCTCCACAAAACTCCCCCACTTTTACACTGTTTAGTTTGTTTTTTTGTTAGGTCCTGCTGCTTTATATTTACATCTAAAATATTTCTAATGTTATAAGGAATCTCTATAATTATTTTACTACTTTTTAAAAATAATTTGCCAAGTTTTTTTTTTTAAATTTAGTTTACGGAATGGAAAATAATTG